GAAACAGGCCACACAATGGAATCCGTCCACCAGTAAAACACAATTCACACGCTCTCTTTCATCTTTCTAATGGCTGATGGCCGCCTAACTTATGGAATATTTTACAGTCTAAAAGTAAGTACTTGGGCCTTCAACAAATCTGTCTGGGGTTTGGGATGTACAGTGATACAGTGTTTGCCTAGCACATCCATGGTCCATGTGCCTAGCACATCCCCAGGACCTAAAAAAAAAAGCTATATCTGCACCTACGGTTCTTCTTAGTTCCAGGGGATGCAGAGTCCGTGCATGGACAGACCCATTCACTCAGGTTTTCCCGAAGAATATTCTCTGTGCGACAGTCCCCTGACACCAGGCATCAGAAAGGTATGGTCTGTTTCCTAACAAGGGAAGATGCCTCACTCCATAACCTCTGGAATCGGAATCTTTAAGGTAGCACTGGCAGCTAAGTCCGAGATCATGGGGAGAGAGTAGGGTGAATTGGAAACTACAAGGCTACCAAACCACAGCTTCCCAAAAAGCTAAATACTACACAGACCAAACCCAAAAGGTCTGCAGGCCAAATATGACCTATGAGATGACAGTCTGCAACAGCAGCTTTAAAAGGTTATCATTTCTATGCTCAAAAATGATTTAAATATATTTATATATATTTAAAATGTTTGCTCTCACCGAATTTCCAAGGCTGTCCCTAGCATGGGAGTTAGTTCCTATCACTAACTCCAAGTTAGTGATAGCTGATGCCCACATTCCAGATAACAGCAGTATAAATGGTTCCTGATTATGGTGCCCAATACATGCCAACTTCTTCATACCATTACCATAATACCCTGCTGAGAGTGGTTGGGGAGTGAACCAGGATCTATCAGCCCCCAAAGCTAAGGCTATTTAATCTACTAGGACTGAAATTAAAATTAGAAATTTAATAATAGATTGTTTCTTAAAATGAAGAAGCAGGAGGTCAAGGAGTCCTATTTATTACACTTAGAAGTAATTAGGGTCCCCTTCAGGGACAAAGGCAAAAAGGAATGCTACATATCCTGGAATCAAATTTCCCCATTAACAAAACAATTATAATTTCTTTTGTAAATGATTTAAATTTTTATCCTCTAAAATGTTTTGAATTTTCCTAAAAAGACAGTTATGTGTGTATGTGATATGTGTATGTGTGTATTTATATACATATATGCATATATGAATTTGATACAGATAAATTATATAAGCTTCTATTTGGAAGGAGTCTCCCTCAAAAAAAAAAAAAAGTAACAATGAATTAAAATTGAGGAGCTATGTACTATTCATAGATAGAAATCTGATACTCATTCCTTAACAACACCAAGATTAGAATATGTTCAATACCATTAGTTTAAGAATGTAGTTTAGGGCTCGCCTGGCATGCATGAGGCACTGGGTTCAATCCTCAGCACCACATAAAAGTAAAATAAAGATATTTTTAAAAATGTAGTTTATTATGTAAAAAACACATAAATGTCTTTTAAAAAAAATCCCACCCAATAGGTGGGTATGGTGGGCCACACCTGTAATCCCAGCTACTCAGGTGGCTGCACAAGAGTATCACAAATACAAGGCCAGCTTAGGCAACTTAGAATTTAGCCTAAAAATAAAGAGAAGTATGTCTCCAAAAAAAAAAAAAAATCTAAAAAAAAATGGCTGAAGATATAGCTCAGTGGCAGAATGCCACTGGGTTCAATCCCCAGTACTGTTAAAAAAAAAAAAAATTCTCTTCAAAATGATTAAAAAATGAAAAACATGTTATGTAAAGAAATTAACATGAGAATTCATTTTACCAATTTTTTTTTTAAGGTTTCTCTAAGATAATAGCTGGGAATAGTAGATAAAAGAACCAATATTTCCACCTGTGCCTACCCAGAAATAGACCCTATTACATCCTTCTCTTACTTAATTTCCAAGGCAACCACTTTATCCATGAAGAAATCAAAGCTCAGATACATTAAGTTGCAATACTATCAATTTCCATTTTAATTCACATACCTTTTATTATAAATTGTATGCTTTTTTTTACTCCCCAACACTCATCTCAACTCCATGGGGTTGTATAATTGGAATCAGGGACACAAGCTCACTGACAGATTCCAAAATCTCCTTCTGTTGCTGTGACATGGAGAGCAATCAGCAAAAAGTCTTTGAATCTTAGTTCTGTTGCAGTCCACTGGCAAGCACCATACTTGCATTTTTAAATCTGAAGAACTAACTTGATAAGTCAGTGTACACACTGGTCTTTACACATGGCTGTCTGACTTCTCCAGTTGTTGGGAGGTCTCTATTAAATACAATTCATGCATGGGGATACAGCTCAGTGGTAGAGTGCTTTGCCTACCTCACAGGAGACCCTAGCTTCAACCCTCAGCACCACAAAATTTAAAATAAAACTATATAAATACAAATTCATAATTGCATAGTAGTCAAATTACTAAGCAATATAGGTGACTTTCCCTAATTTTATTACCAAATATTCCTACCTTAAGAACCTGGAGTCACAATGATTATATCACGGAGACCACAGCCAGCTTATGTGACCGTCATTCTGAGTCCTCTAACACCCCATCCTGCATCACCATTTCCTGTAGTACCTGCTCTGTAGCTTCTGCCTTCTTTGCCCCCACTATTCATTAAGCTCTTAAAAGAGGTCTGAGGATTCAAAGAAACCACACACACAGTTTAGTAAGAGGAAGCCAAAAAGAGAGTGCCATCCACACATCAGATGTCCCTCATGCTCTACATGCTTCATTTCATGCAATTCAAAGTCCCCAGTTTCCAGATCAGGAGAATGAGGTTTAGAAGGTAAATGACTTGATACATACCTGTGCAATACTAACCACACCATCTTCTCTGCCCTACACCCAACATTCACACCTGTTTCAGCTCCACTGTTCCTAAACCCACTGAAGACTTCTAAAGCATATTTAGCCAAAATCACCAGACAGAAGGTATGAAATCAATCTTATCAATGTGTACTTTGATATGTTCATCTAACACCACACTTCCTTCAATTAACACAGATTAAGCATCCCTAATCCAAAAATCTGAAATGCTCCAAATCTGAAAGTTTTGTATGTGGACATGACCCTACAAGTAGAAAATTCCACACCAGACTTCATGTGACAGGTTGCAATCAAAATGAAGGCACACTAAAAATACTGTAATGATTTTCAGACTACACATATAAAGTATCTAGGAAAGAATTAAATTTGTTTTTAGACTTGAGTCCCATTCTCAAGATATCTCAGAATGTATATGTAAATATTCTAGAATCAAAAAACAAAACAAAACTGGAGTCTTTTAAGCATTTCAGAGAAGTGATATTCAACCTGTACAATGATTTCTGGTAACTCAAAATGGCAATATTTACCACCCTGGGCTCAATATCTAACCATTAATTGTTGGAGATTAAGACTAAAAGAATGTAAATGTTTGATTATTTAAATACTGTGAATTATGTCAGTGAATTTTCTTGTTCTGAAAAATTTAGGAGTCTACAACTCACCATGAAAACAGCTCAAAAGTAATAATATAGAGGGAGATAGGAGGAAATATAGCAAATGTGGCATATGTTAATAATTGGTGACTCTGAGTGAAGGGTATATCAAAGTTCTTTGTATTATTCTGTCAGTTTGAGAATAGTTCAAAAAATTTTTAATAAGAAAAAAATTTATAAATGGCCCATATTCCAGACCATTTGGGGACTGACCTCAACAGCAATTTGTACATGGTTGATTTTTCTTGACATGATAGGAGGAAATAGGTTCAACAACCAGCATTTAGACGACTTCAATAAAGCACTGCAGATGCTGGTTATTTAATTATTAATTCCCTGTCCAGCTGCAGAAGGTAATGAACCATGTTCTCTATTGGTTTAAATGCCTGATTTTTGCTTAAGTGTGCTGTCTTCTGAGTTATGGTACAAATTTTAAAAAGGAAGAATGATTCCATAGGAAAAAGCTCTTAAATGGGGACTGGGTTGTTTAAGGTTATGACTGTGACCACGGTACAGCTTCCCACCTGGTAATAGCTGGCTTTGGCCTCGATCATCAGCTGCTGAGTAGAGATCATCTTCTTCCTGCGTTTACACTCCTCCTTGAGAAGCTTGATCTCCCCTGCCTGCTTGGTGAGCAGCTGCTTGCTGTGCTCACAGTCACCCAGGCTCTGGTGCAGCCTTTCCTCCAGGCTGTGCAACTGCGAGGTGAGGAACTCCTGCGAGTGCATCAGGTACTCGATGGTGAGCTGCGCCAGGCGGATGAGCTTCAGCAGCACTGGGTCCACCCCCGACTGGCAGTGTGGGCATTTCTCGTCCTCCAGTTTGCAGAAGGTTATGTTCATGATGTTCTCCTGCAGCGTTAGCACGTCCACGGCCCCTGCCACCTTGTCCACGTCAATGGCGCTCAGCCGGCGCCAATCCACGCTCTCCAGTCGCGGCCGGAACTGGAAGAAGGGCAGGGGGCCTGATGCCGCACTGGGGGGCACACAGGCCATGGAGGCCGCGCCTGCTGCTGCAGAGGCAGAGGCGTCGGGCCCCTCGAGGCCGCTGGCCAGAGGGTAGTAGACGTGCTTCTGGAAGGGCTGCGGAGGAAGAGACAGTGCATCAGAGGCAGAAGTGGGGGGCAGGAGGACTGGGGAGGTCCCCGCCCCAACCCGGCATCCCAGGACACTCAGGCTTCCCGCCTCTTACCATGCTTGCGAGCCAGTCCGCTGCCTAGGCTTTAATCATAGGAGCGATTCAGCTTCGTCTACCAGCCCCAAGCCGCTTCCGGGCCGCCGCCGCCACACCCCTGGGAAGCCTGAGAAGACCAGGTCCCTGGTGGCGGCGGCGGCGGCGGCGGCGGCGGCGGCGGCGGCGGCGGCGGCGGCAGCGGAGGCCAAGGTCTGGGCGTCCAGGACGTTGCTATGGCAGCGCCCCGCCGGACCCAGAGCAAAGGGCGCGCCGGCCAGCGCGCGGTCAGCGTGCGCCTAAGGCCCTGCGGGACCAAAAAAAAAACCTCGTGGATGAGTCTGGGTGGACAACACTGGTCCATCAGAGAGGGCCTTCCTAGCAGCCCGCTCCCCAGGGCACCACCATCCCTGGTCTTGGGGGGCTGGACACTCAATGTCCTTAAAACAGGAGTGGGGAGCCACATCCCAGGAACTTTTAGTCCTAGCTGCCATCCTCTGGTTATCCATCCACTACTGTCCTAGCTTATGCTTTGAAATTAGAAGTATCTATTCATCCTCATCTTTTACGCACAACCTCCAAGACAGGTAGCAACAAAACAGTGTAAAATTAAATAGAGGAAAAAGGGCAAGAGGAAAATCTAGGGTAGTAGAAATATTCTACATTTTGATTGTGGCTGATTACAAGAGAATATACATTCATCAAAATTTATGGAATGGAATGCTTAAAATTAAGGTTGTATTTTATGTATTATACTACAATAAAATTGTTTAAATTAAAATTTCTTATATCCAAGATACATTTTAAAGGAATTTTTCTTCTCTTATGGGTTGGCAGCCTAAACATAACATTTTGAGAAAGGTACAAACCAAAGAACTCCCCAGGTTTGTCTTCTGAAAAAGATGCACTGCCAAAATGCTGAAGGGAAAAAACAGATGGTGGGGTACTTCAGCCATCAAGTTTCCCTCCAATTTTTACAAGGCCATCGTATTTACCTTATAAACTTGTGTGGGGGTTGCATTATTTTCTGGAGAGACTAAAATATTTCTAGTAGCAACTTATAGACTTCAGGCCTCTCATTTTAGGAGTCTTCTGGGGGCTTCCAGTGGTTACCACAGAGATCAAGGAGCTGAGGAAAAGCCAGACATTCCTCAATCCACCGGGGAGTCCCTGCTTGGACCAACCACCAGGAAAATTTTTTTCTTTCCTAACAGCCAAATACGTGAACAGAAGAAAGGAAAATACAATTCAGAGTAACTGAAAGCAAAGTTATAATATCAAATATTTTTAGCACAAAATATTGTGAACTAGAAATAAACCCACAGGAAAGCAACCAGGAAACAAAGCATGCGTTTCGTATAAACCACACAGCCAGATAGTTTCTAATAGGTTTTTGGGAAAAAATAACTATCAACAACTCACTGCAGCCTAGCATAAGAGTCTTAAAGATATAGATAGGTTTCACAATTTTGATTCTTCCTTTTACTTGCTGTCTAATTTAGAATAAATCTGTCAGCCTTAGACCTCAGTTTCCCCATCTGTTGAAGGGCATCAGGATACCTACCTGGCAGGTCTGTGGACTGAGGGCTCCATCCACTGGGCTGCAGGATCAGCGGGAACAAGGGCTGGGGTCTCTCTTGCTCACTGATGTATCCCCAACACCTAGCGCATGATCGGCACGGAGAGGGCGTTCAGAATTTGGATTCGTGAATAAAGAATTATGAATCAGGCGCTCAGTTAAGGAGATGTCAGCTCCTGGACTCATGTCCCTATTTTTTCTGCCTTGTGTTAGAGGGATCAACCCTTGTTCTGGATCCAGGGCCTCGGGGCAGAACGTGGAAGAGGTCCACGCGCCGCCGCTGCGGTCCTGGAGAGAAGGGGAGCAGGCCCGAGGCACCCATCTCTGTTCGCTGCCACCACTCCAATCTAGGGCATTTGCGGTTCGCCACCCTTGCCCCTTTGGTCAAAGCTCTGTCACAAGATGGCCGGAACAGGAAAGAAGGGGGATTGCTTTCCTGTTCCCTCCGTCTCCCGACCCTCCGGCAGGGCCCCAGCAGAGCCCCTAGACCTGCACCGCGTCTTGCTTCCCGGCGCATCGCACCGCGGGCCTGCTGAACCCGCAAAGACAAAGAGGGATGCCGGGTCCAGTGGGGCCTTGGCACCTTCTTAGAAAGCAAGTGGGATGGGGGATGCGGCAGCCACGTAACCGCGATCCGCAGTGGCGCGGAACGTTGCCGGAGAGGCGGGAGGAGGGTCGGGTCTCAAACGCTCCAAGATGCCCTTGTCCAAGGCGGGCCCCCTCGGGCGCCTAGGAGCATCCCTGGCCTCGGCTTACCCCAGCTGCGCGCTCCTGGGCGGGTACCGGGAGCTGCAGGCTGACGGAGAGTCTCAGGGGACCCGGATCCCAGGGGCTCTGCTGGCTCAGGCGGAGCTCGTGGAGGCCGAGGAGCAGGCGGGCGGACTCCTTCTTCCAGGGTGCAAGATGAAGCGTGTCTCGTCTGGGCAAGTTGTGGCGAGGCCGGTCGCCTGGCGCCGCTCAGGGCCTTCCAGACTCCAGGCCACTGGCGCCTCAGAATTCCCCACCCCCCTCCCGCCCCCAACCCCTCAGAGATCTCCTTCGGGCCTCTTCCTCGGCTGCCCGGCCTCTCTGGCTGTTGGGCGGGACTGTGCGCATCTAGACCGCAGCGCTAAAAAGCGCTCCTCCAATCCGGGAGCTGGAGCAGACACGTGGTGCTGGGGCGCGCTCTGTTGCTGACATGAGGTTTTATCCCCGGGAAGGCTTTTCAAAAAGAAACCAGATTCACTCCTACCCTATGTTAGACGAGCCCAGCTAGTTAATTTCCCAAGGGCTTATGTGAATCTTTATCGGAAAAGAGATGCATTTTAACCACATAAGTCTGCCGATGATAAGGACCTTGAAGAGGCTGTACGCAGCCCTGCATTTGAATGATGTAGAAAATGAGACTGGGGTGCTAGAGCACTCCAGGATTTAAATGCAGATTGGTTTCCGCATGTCTTGCAGCTCTGCCCACTTTAGGAGAGATTCCTGCATTTCTCTTGGTAGAAAGTTTTGAGAAATTTGAATTGGTCTTTTGCAAAATCAGTGTCTAGAATAGGAAACAAAAAAAGTTCTTTTAGAAAGGAGTAGCTGCAAATTTTTTTACTGGACATTATGTAAAGATGACTTCCCTTGTGCTGCTTTCTTTCTGACTGAATCAATCATACCATGCACAAGTCTTAAAATATAGGTAATGATAAGTATGCATGTTGAGTTCCTTGATTTAATTGAAATCATCACAAGGCCTGGGACAGCTGTGATGGAATTTTATATTTGTCTAATTTTAAAATGCTTTGAATTTGAAAGAAGATTTAAGATTCCAATCAAAATAATCTAAGTACTATGGGTAAAGTTTTTTAGGTAGAAATTTCAGGCAATTTGAGGCAGGTAGTACCACTGCTTTGCAAAATTTATAACCTATAGTAGTGTGTGTGGGTGTGTGTGTGTGAGAGAGAGAGAGATGGTTGCTTTACTAATATTATTTGATAAAGTAACCCTTGTGTTACATGGATCCCCCATTTCCCACTGTCCATATATTATCCCACAGATGTAGAGTCACGATAAATAAGATGAAGCAATTAACTTTGGTGCCATACATTCTTGATTTTTTTTTTGCTAATTATTAAGCTTTTAAAAGATGGATATCTTTTTCTCTCAGACTATGAGAACCTCAAGTGTTCTAGAATATTGAAGATAATAAGTAAATCCTCAAAGATGTATTTGGTTTTTATGACAGATACTTCCAAAATTTTGTTGTGATTGTTCCCCACACCTGTTTCCTTTGCATTTTTTCTTTAAAAAGAAAATCATGTTCCTATAGTTTTAGAGCTGTTTCCACAGGGAGAAAAATTAGGTGGCTATATTCAATATACATCATAACTTGGCACCTGAATGTGAGAGCCACATACTAAGACTGGTAGGGCAGGACAGTGTTGTAAAGGTGCCATATCAGTCTTTGACCTGCCTGTGTCTACACATCTTTGCCAGGTAAACTTATTTTTTTTCAAGCCACTTATTTGAGAGTTCTATTTTATACACAAAATCAAATTTTAGCTAGAGCAGTGGCCCACACATGTAATCCCAGTGGCTCAGGAGGCTGAGGAAGAAGGATTGCAAGTTCAAAGCCAGCCTTAGCAATCTAGCGAGGCTCTAAGCAACTTAGCAAGTTCCTGTCTTAAAATAAATAAAATAAAATAAAAAGGGCTAAGGATGTGGTTCAGGGGTTAGCCACCCCTGGGTTCAATCCCCATTACCAAAAAATAAAAGTGAAAAAATAAAAAATCTGTTTAACTGTTAACTAGTCCTCCCACATCCCATGATTATTCTGATGATCACAGGGTCTTCTTGGGGTAATTCAACTCCAGTTGCTTTCATTGCCACTCAAGAATTAAATTTCTGGGAGAGAGATTCTAATTGTATTAGTAATGTGCCTAACTGAGTAGTTGGTTAAAATCAGCATATAAATGACATATTCCAGGGCTGGGGTTGTGGCTCAGTGGTAGAACACTTGCCTAGCATGTGTGAGGCACTAGGTTCAATTCTCAGCACTGCATATAAATAAAATAAAGGTTCACCAACAACTAAAAAAATTTTTTTTTAAAAAAAGACATGTTCTACCAGAATTATATGAAGAATAGGACAGTGGTCCTGAAATGAAGGGATCTGCCCTGCTTAGAGAAAAAGTAAAAATAAATAAATAATAATATTAAAATTAAAAAGAGAAATGTAATGTCCATTACATTTCAATCTTTGGCACATGTTAACATGAACACTCTTCTCTCTATATTTATGTTTTACTCCATTTTGTGCTGCTACAGCAAAACACTTGAGGCTGAATAATTTATTTATTTAAAAAATATTTATTATTTAGTTGTAGTTGGACACAATGTCTTTATTTTGTTTATTTATTTTTATGTGGTGCTGAGAATCAAACCCAGGGCCTCGCCAGCACTCTACCAATGAGCCACAAGACTAAGAAATTTATAAAGAACAGAAGTTTTATTTTCTCACAGTTCTGGAGGCTGGGAAGTATAAGATCAAGGCTCTAACAGGTTTGATTGTCTCGTACAAAGCCCATCTCTGCTTCCAAGATAATGCCTTGATGCTGCATCCTCCAAAGGGGAAGAATGTTCTGTCCTCATGTGGTGAAGGGATAGGGCAGGAGAATCAGATGCTTTGTGTAGCCTTAATCCGATGCACAAGAGCAGGAGACTTCATGTCCCAATCACCTCTTAAAGATCCCTCCTCTTAATATTATCATGCTAGCAAAACCTGAATTTTGGAGGGGACATATCCAAACAATAGCATTATACTATTTTTAAAAATCTCTTGTTAATAGAAATACCTTATGCACAGTTATCGTGCTCCCCACTGTGAGGCTAATGAACAGTACCTCCCACTGTCAAGGCCAAGAGGATCCATGAGTTGGCAATTTCTGGATTATGTCAATTTTTACCTGAACTCCTTTTAAATTCTGTCTTGTTTCTTCAATCTGTGGTGTCAGAGATAGACTTAACCTCCATGGATAACTTTTACAAAGAATAGAAAAGGAAGAAAGAAAAGATGAGGAAATTATTTTTATGTTTCATGATCCATTAAGAAATCAAAGTAGTAGCAATTCAGATGGCTGAGAATGTTCAGATAGTGTATTGCATAGAAGCTCCACATCTAAGGGGGCATTATTCATTGTTGACATGTGTTGAATTATAAAACTAACAGAAAGAATTATAGAGCAGAAAGATGAAAAGAACTTAGGTCTTTAAAAACACTATTGAGCAGAAGATCACATTGTCTGTCCTACATCTGGATTTTCAGCTAAGTGAGATGGCAAACTCTTTTCTTTATTAATCCAATTTGAAAATAAGAAACAGTTACAACCATAGAAAATATTAGCACAATTATATCAATAATCAATTATAAATGAATTGTCTAAATAAGTTTAAAAGCAGAGATTTTCAGAGTGGATAAAAAACTTAAACCCAACAATATATCAATAAGAAACCCACTTTAGCTGGGTGCCATGGCTCATGCCTGTAATCCCAGCAACTCAGGAGACTGAGACAGAATTGAAAGTTTGAGACCACCCTGGACAACTTAGTGAGATTGTAGGTCATCAAACATACTTTAAGAAATGAAAAAGAATACAAAGTATAAACCAGGCTCATACCTGTCATCCCAGCTACTTGTGATATTAAGGCAGAGAATTACAAATTCAAGACCAACCTAGTGAGTCCCTGTCTCAAAATAAAATTTAAAAAAGGGCAGGGGATATAGCTCAGGGGTAGATCTCTTACCTAGTATGTGCCAGGCCCAGGGTTCATCCCCACTACATATATATATATATATACACATAAACATATATATACACACACATGCGCGCACACACACATGCGCGCACACACACATACACACACACATATATATATAATTTAATAGAATGTTAGAACAGATTTTGAGGTTATTAGATCAAGAAGCATGGTCATGGGCTGGGGTTATGGCTCAGCTGGTAGAGCTCTTGTCTTAGCACGTGCAAGGCCCTGGGTTCCATCCTCAGCACCACATAAAAATAAATAAATAAATAAATGATAAAGGTATTGTGTCCAACTACAACTAAAAAATAAATATTAAAAAAAAGAAGCATGGTCACATATAAATTAGAAAATTCCTAACCTTTTTCTATATTCTTAACTTTTCTGTACCGATATTCACACCAACCCACCCCATCTGACCAGGAGTATTTGTATTCTGGTTGCCCTAGTAAGATTGTGGCTTGCCTCCTGAGAAAGGAATTATTTGTCCTCACATGTGAAAGTGGCAAAATTTCCTCAATAGATAGAGTCAGAATAAAGAGAAAATGTAGGAGAGTCTGAGGACTTCAGATCCTTGAAATCAGTTATTATTGAGCATTCCTTAATACTTGGGAGAATTGTAAAATACAGAGTGCCCACACCTAAAATTTCTGATTTAGTAGGTCTGGGGTGGGACCAGAACATTTTCATCTTCTACAAGTTCCCAGGTGATGCCAGTGTCATTAGTCTAGGGATCATGTTAATAAGCACTGTGCTAAATCTTCAGAAATCTCTTAGATGTTGCCATTTCCACTCATTGGGATCCATTGTCTTCTGATTGGCTGTCCAACCTTCATAGGAAAGAAAGTGTGAACCCAATTCACTAAAGTTTCTGTGTTTGGTTTTCTATGTTCTCATTCTAAGAATTTTAGATAGGAATTGATTTTTTCCCCCACCAAAGCCACTGAAAGAACCAGAATATCATTAAAGTAATTTTTTAAAATATTTATTTTTTAGTTGTGTAAGTGGACACAACATCTTTATTTTATTTTATGTGGTGCTGAGGATTAAACTCAGTGCCTCACACCTGCTAGGCGAGCACTCTACCACTGAGCCACAACCCCAGCCTCAACTGAAGTAAATTTTTTAAATTTATACATGGCAGCAGAAGGCATTACAATTCATATTACACATATAGAGCACATTTTTCATATCTCTGGTTGTATACAA